AGGCACTATTTGGATCAAAAACCATTAATCCAAGCATTGGAAAGAGAGAGAGAGAGAGAGAGAGAGAGAACACTGGATGTGTATATATATATAACAACCAAAGGGCATGAAATCTTATATTTTTGGTGTAGATGAACAAAAAACAGGGAGGAAAGGAGTTTGATCGGCTGCGATCTTCCAGATGTGGCGGAGTTCGTCGTCGTCGCAAGAGAGGAAACTAGAAGAGGAGAGGAGAGGGGTGAGGGAGAGAAGTGTGCTAAGGCAACAGAAGAGGGTTTATATAATGGCAATTCCGTAATTTTCCAAGTTTTGAAGGGGCATTTTAGTCATTTCAGCCCCTCCCAACCCAGCTGTGTGTATAAGCTGTTTGAATAAGCATCTCCCGAGTTGCTTCCCCCCAAGCTGAAAATAGATTACAAATAAGCTATAATTTGATCATTTAAGTTACACCAAACACATATTTATAACTTAAATTAAGTTAAAAGCTAAAATAAGCAGCTTATAAGCTGTGCCAAACAGGCACATTGTGAGTTTATGATCAAAGCCAATGGCTAGTTCAAAGTTTAAGAGGCTGTTTAGTAAAGTTGAAAGTTTTTAGTAGTGTGAAAGTACTGAAATTTTAATTTTAAAACTTTTAAGATAAAAGTTGTTAGAAGAAAATGAAAATAAAGCTACCTTCTACTAACTGTATTCTACATTCAGTAACAAGTCAAGTCAAGTCAAACTTAAAATTTAGACTAGTTTTCAGGCAATTTTCAAATTTAAGTGGTAGGTACTTATGCATTATCAAAGTCACTTAATGCATTTAGTTTTTGAAGTACTTAATTACAAGCAGGGCCTGGGCAAAAAGTTTCTCGTATCGCAAGAATTCCTATTTAAAATTAAAATATTGGTTCTTTTTTAATGTTAAGCATTGATGTTGACCCAAGAAGATGTGGTTATGGTTGCAAAATATTGGCTGTGTCCAGTCTTAAGATTTTGGGATTGAGGTGAATATGGCACCTCGCCACCCTTCATTCAAAATGATTACTTGAGTCCATGTAACTCAGATAGGTACTACAAGCCTGATGTGCAAGTTATTTTTCTAACCTTTGTTTGTGCATTTTTAGTATTCAAGGCTGTTATTAATGTGTAGGTCAATCCTAATTGCTTCATATTTATGCGTTTATATGTACTATACATTTACAATGGTGGAACTACTAATGGAATTTGTAGAATGCATAATAGGATGACTCTCTAATTTTATGATAATCACTTTGCTAACTCTCTATTTTGTTAGTCTTTTGCCTTGTATAATGGGATGATCTTTAACCATTTCACATGCTAGTTAATACCATCAATTTCATCAAGTCAATTTTATTTATAACAAAAGTACATCTCATTTTTTTTATTTTAAAAATCAAAGAGGTAATTTCTGGTTCTACCCTTATACATAAATGTATATATGTGTGTATCTATTATGGATGTATAATATTCAGGTACATTCTCTAGCTTCTGATTGATAATCATATTTCTTTAATAGGAGAAAAGGTGCTTAATCACCAGTCCTATTGTTTTGTTTTCATTCCGGGAACTTCTATAATAAATCAGTGGTTATGCTTCTTTCATAGTTGCCTTGATAAAATTCAGCTTATTTATTGCAGGTACATAGTTCACAGTTTTTCCCGAATGCTGCCACATTGTAAGATAAGGGAAACAGTTGAATATTGTCGAAGTTTGGATATATTTACATAGGAGAATGGCAGATGGAAATATCAAGCTTCTGCGGTCCTGTCACATCCACTGCAGAGTGGTGTGAAAAAATTATGTATACTCTTCCTATATTGCGGAATTCTACAACACCACATCTAATATCCCATGCATTCTTTTGGCACTAATAGGCTTAATAAATGCCTTAAGCCAACCGTTTGAGAAGAGATTTAGTGTTCTTCATATATCAAATATGATACTAGCTATTGGGAGCATGTTATTCCATGCCACGTTGCAACATGTGTAAGTAAAACTATATACTATGTGCATCTTCTCCCAACGTGTCGTATCTTTCATTTTTAAAAAATTATTATGCTGGCGTATTCATGTTGTGTGTTCCTATCCGTGCTTCTTAGATTGCAATTATGGGAGGGAGACAAAATAACCAAGTGAAATTGGAAACATTTGCTTCTCAAACTTGAGGAACTGTTGTAATTTGTGTTCATAGCTAAAATTGGAAATCCCAATGGGGAGTGGGTTGGAGAAAGAAAAAGGGGGATGCCAGGTGGGATCTCTACAAGTTCTGGATTCAACCACATTCTATAAGTTCTAGATTCAACCACATTATATCCCTGGTAGTAGTAATAGGACCAAAAAAATAATAATTGAACAAAAGTAGAATAAAGATGGATTTGAACTCTCAAACTACATTGAAATGACACAAATTCAGTTCCATATTCAATAGCTCTGTTGTTCAGTCAACTGAATAAGCTATTCTTTGTAGTGATTACGAAGACTTGATATATGAGAAAGTGGAACTTCACCATGAGAACTACTCCTAAAGACCATGAGATTGTACTTGAAATAATCTCAAACAACTTCAAATTGTCCTGTAAATTAATTACTTTCCTGCATGCAATTTTGTTGTTAACCATATCTTCACCCATGCATCCTGGCAATTTCGATCAATTGGTAAAAAGCATAAAAATATAAAAACTAGAGCTTTTGTGACGGTCTTGAACGTCGCAAAAGGTTCACATATCATCACAAAAGACTTTTTGTGACGGAGTCGTGACGGGAAATGGGGGGTGGCGGAAGGAGGCGTGACAAAAAGTATTTGCGACGGTTACAAACTATCGTTTTCTTGTAGCGACGGCTAATCAATGGTTTTTGTGACGGTTTAACCTGACACAAAAAAGGAAAAAAATTTCTCTTTTAGTGACGATGTTGGTTGCCGTTGCCAAAACTTTATTAGCAATAGTATCTGACGTTGCGAAAAATATTATTAGTGACGGTCGAAAACGTTGCAAAAAAAAGTAAATTTAAATTAGTATCGTATTTGTGACAGTTTAAACCGTCGCTAAAGATTTGAACTACGATGTATATGCAGCAGGTTAATCCGTCGCTAATAAAATGTAAGGAAATAATGATTACATTAGCGACGATTTATTATTGTCGCAATAAAATTATTTTCATAAAATCAATATATATTTTATTAATTCATTCCCTGTACAAATTATTAATATTTTCTAAAATAAAATACATCTACATCCATATCCACATCCAAACACATCCACATCTACATTCACATTCACATCCACAAAATCATACGTATATATGTACCTTGTAATAATTGTAAACCAAATATTCTTTACAAAGATATATAAAACATCCTTCAACAATATTAATAATTTTTTATATTCAAGAACTTAAATTTTTGTATCTAAAACAAAACAAAAGTATCAACAATACAAATAAAAAACATATGCATTATAACTTGTTTTAATATCAACAGTAAGCTCTAATATCGATATGCAAAGATATCATCATATACTCAAAAGGGGTTGCATATGCAAAAAGAAACCCAAAAAAAACTCATCATTTACAATATAATTAACTTCATGCTTACAGAAAATGTAAAACATTTGATATTTATTTCAAAAAATAAATAAATAATAAGATTGTAAGCTGCAATATCGATATGCGAAAATATCATCACGTACTCAAAAGGGTTGCATCTGCAAAACAAAACAAAACAAAATAAAACAAAAAAAATTATTTACAATATAATTAATTTCAAGCTTACAGAAAATGTAAAACATTGGATATTTATTTCAATAAATAAATAAATAAGATTGTAAGTTCTAATATCGATATACGAAGATATCATCGCGTACTCAAAACGGTTGCATTGTTTAGGGGAGAAACCAAAAAAAAAAAAATTCCCCCGGGGTTGAATCCATGTGTTCTCTCCCTGCCCCTAGCCAGAACACTACCCAAGTTCCACAATACAAACTTCCCTTTTTGTTTCAGTTCTCAGCATGAGAAACCCAAAGACAAAAATTTCCATGAATCCAAACAATGCTGAAATCCCAGAACCAAAAGGCCTCCAATTCTGTGAGGCAATAATCAAATGAAAACAAATAAACCAACCGATTCACAAACAAGATACAATAATGCCTCAACTCATGAACAAAAACACTCTATTTCTTTATAGCAATAATCAATTGCAAAACCCTCTAATTCTGTCAGGTAATAATGAAGTGAAAACAATCTCCCCCGATTCACAACCAATATACAAATGCCTCAACTCAAGAACCAAAAATTCTACTTCTTTAGAGCAATAATCAGTTGCAAAACCCTTTTGAAATCAAAACCTTAATTTTTCAAGTTTGGAAAAACAATCTGTGTTTATTTCAAATGTGTTGAAGGAATTTTGAGAATAGCTTTGTGGCCGGCGCATTTGCTGGCGGTGGCGTGACAGCTTAGTCGCACCCTCTAGAGGATCTGAACGTTTTAAGCGTATTGTCGCTTTGGTCCTACAGTTTTTTAATTTGATCAATTTTAATTTTACACTTTCAATTTATTTCTCATTGTAATATGATCTCTTTGTTATGTGCCGTTCATAATTTAAACAGAAAAAGATCATGCACGAAATTAGAGATGAAAGTAAATTTAAAAATATATAAAGATTATTTGTATAATTTATTTATTACACCAGCAATCTCTATAGTTTTTTTTAAAATATATTTTAGTATCTTTAGTTTTACACGTGATTTTTTTCGATTTAAAATTGTAACAAGTAACAAAGGGATCAAATTACAGCAAAACTAAAAGTGTAATATTTAATCAAAGTGAAATTTTGCTCAAACTAAAATGATGAATAATTTACCTTTTCCTAATTTGACTACCCTAAAAACAGTATTTTCAATTTAGTTTTTAAATATTATTATCTAGCGAATAACAAACATCAGCGGGGATAGCTCAGTTGGGAGAGCGTCAGACTGAAGATCTGAAGGTCGCGTGTTCGATCCACGCTCACCGCATTAATTGAAATGATTTTTGCACTAATTTTATAAATTAAAAAAAAAAAAATTTACACTAAACTATTTTTTTTCCCCCTCTTTATGAACAGGTTTTCCTAAATTATTTTTGCACTAATTTTACCCAAAAAAAATTAAATACAAAAAAACACATGCAATGATGTCACTAACAATTTTTTTTTATTATTTTTTTATTATGAGAATAATGATGGAAGTTTATATATATATTGTTACCCATTACTTTGTATTTGGAACTATTTTTGTACTCATTTAGGGTGAGTTTGGGATCAAGCTAGAAAAATCAGATTTTTTTTTTTCCTAAGTTTCTTTTTTAAGAAATTGTATGAAAAAAAACTTTTCAGACCTGCTTAATGTAAAAAGATCTAAAAAGAAGAAAAAAAAAATCAAAAAAAGGGTTCATGAAAGGCCTAAAAAAAACAAAAGAAGCCAAAAAATAACTTATTTTTTTGTTTTTTAGTGAATTTTTTTTATTATTCTAGTACATCTAATCGAGTAGAATTTGAAAGTATAAAATTTTTTTAAAATTAAAAAAATAATAATTAAAGACAAAAAAATACCAACAAAAATGTAACTCAAAGCTAATCACATACAAACGGTTAGTAGGTTGTTCTTTGATGCGAGTATCATTTTTGTTTCTTTTCAAAAGTTACTCTTTCTTTTCTTTTTCAATATATTGCAAGAGTAAAAGTGAGCTTCATAATTCAGATTAAAAAATGTATATCATTTCGGATGCAGTAATAAATATATAAATATATATAAATTTATTTACTTTAACTTATATAGCATATGGTGCCCTATTGACCCTTTGGCTCAACATAACCCCAACAGCATAGTCCGAGGCATCACACATGATTTCAAATGGGAACGACTAATCTGGTGATTTCATGATTGGGTAGGAATGACAACAGGGCGGGCCGGGGACTACACTCCCCGTCTCCGATCCCCGAAGGCTGAAAAATCCTCGTCCCCGCCCCTGATCCCCAGCGGGGAAACCCATCACCCCCCCGTCCCCATCCCCTAATGGGGATCGGGTTTCCCCGGCCCTGAAAAATCTTCGACCTGTTTTTTTTTTTTTTTGAACAAAAAAACAACAAAACAAAACAAAAAAATTAATCTGTTTTCAATGTTTCATCATGTAACGCCCTCAAAATAGTACATATAAACCCCATATTCTTGACATTCATAGACATAAGAGAATAAAGCATATTTTCATTTATCAGAGTATTATGTACAAAAGTATTACATGTTGATATTAAAAGTAAATGCCCTACGGGCTTACAACTTTCCAAGTCAACACTTGGTTACAACAAAAGAAGAGTCTAACTCTTTACACAAAATAAGCCCTTGGCTTGAATTTACATGTCATACCAAAAAGATAACAACAAAAGATCTCTCAGCCTCTAAGCCTCCCAAGCTACGTCCTTGGAGGTGGCATATCACCTTAACCTGAAAATGATGTCCTATAAAGGGCGAGTCAAAGCCCAGCAGAGATATACTAAACCAAGTATGAGCAATATCTAAAACATTAACATTCGATAAATGGTTAACACTATAAACCAATTTTACAACACATCCCAGTTCCATGACAGATACATTTGTGTTTCATTCCACTTTCCTTTACTTATCCAATTCACATGCATAAACCTAGCTCATTATCTAGCCAAACAATTACATGAGACTACAATTCATATTAAAACACTTCCGTTATCCACAATTCAAATGAGACTACATCTCACATTAAACACTTCCATACTTCAATTATCTACGTCATGCAAACGTAATTAAGATTTCAGGACTTTCACCTTGGACACTCCGGCCAACTTAGTTATCAATGGAGCCCATCTCCTATCTCCTCCCAAACAAGTTTGAGAGTACATCCCCTATCTCCTCTCAAACCATGAAGTACATCCCTTATTTCCTCCCAAACAATATACATGTACAATGTATTTAAACACTTATCATATACAATGATCAATCAATACACATATTCGATGTATTATTTCAACCGTCATATTCAATGACATATTCCAGGTAATTAGTTTCAGTTTTCCCTAATCAACATACAGTGTCTACAACAATCAAGACTATCCTCCACCGATAGCCCAAAGCAGTTATTTCTAAACAAAGAATATATTTATCAAACAGATAAAATATCAACATTCTCATAGGTGAGTGATTTATTTATCCAACTACGCCATTTAATCCCATAAATTCCCAATTTCATGATTTCCAACACTATTTCAAATTTCTTCAAATTAATTATTCGACACATTTAGGGCATTTTCCCCTCTTTTTCAAATATCAACCCTAAGGTTCAATTTCATCAATTTAACAACAATAATTCCATTTTCCAAGGTCTTACATACACATGGAGTTTAACAATTTAAAGCCCCCTTTTTATAACTTTAAAACAAACCCTAACTTTTCCAAAATTACCATAATCCACCATTTATACAAAATGACTAAAATCTATGTCAAAACTCATAAGAAGGAATAGGGTATCCCTACCTCAAGAGAAGAGACCAAATGGAGAAGATGAAGAAAACTCAAGATGCTCCAAACCCAATGATTTTTGGATCAAAACATAGCCCACACCAAGCTCCACCTTTCTTACAAAGGAACTAGGATAGAAACCACACTAGAACTAGGTGTGTTCTTAGAGAGAAGGTGTATAAAGAGAGAAGAGCAGCCGGATCTAGGGTTTGTGTAAAAGAGATGGTGAAAAAGTGAAGAAGAAGCTGCTGCTGCGAACTGATATATTCGATCCTCGCTTGAGCGAAGGAATTGTCGCTCGAGCGACCAGACACAAAGAAACCTCGCTCAAGCCAACAACATGAAGCTTCAGGTCTGCAACCCAGAAGCACGCTCGAGCGAAGGAAAGCTCGCTCGAGCAAAGAAACCCAAAACATAGTCCTCGCTCGCTCGAGCCAAGAAACACAACCTTCAGGTCCAAAACTAGACGCAGACGCAACCTCGAGCGAATGAGCTAAAGCACAGAGCTCGCTCGAGCGACAAAAGCCTCGCTCGAGCGAAGACACCAAAAACTGGGCAGCAACCTTTTGTTTCTAATCACAACCAACCTGTTACAAACCTGCCCAACATATCCTAAAACTCATATACAAAGAATTAAAGGACGGAAATGAAACATATACTACAATACTCAATCACGGAACCCAAGTCCAGAATATTGTACATAAAGGGGAAAACCCGGGATCGTTATAAAAAAATTGGTTAATACTTGTAGGAGCCAAGCAAAGGGGCAAATGGACACTCACATTGCTCAAACTGCAGAGTTCTTTTTCTTTTTGCGATCTTAATTTTCTACTAACTTTCTGGTACCCAAGTGATAGTTCTTTTTCTTTTTGTTTGTGTCTAAACTTCTATGCCATGTGAGTTATACATTTTCTCATGTTCTTTTTTGCATTCCCAATGGCTATATATATGTCTTGTTTTCTTTTGAAAATAATCTAGAATAGAAATTGTATCCCTTAGCCTTTTTGTAACTTTGCTGATAGTTGTGAAGTTTCTGTGATATAATTGTGCTTTGAAGTAAGCTTTTCAGTTGGCTAATGTTTCAATTCTTCTGGTTAAACTCACAATGTTTCTCCTACATTATTTATTTATTCAAAACCTTTTTTTTCCAAAGAAGCATGGTCCTTAATTTTTTTGCTGCCATCTAAATTTCTTCTCAACCAATGCCATAGGTTTTATGCCACCGGGGTTATGATGGTGCTGCAGCAGATGTCTGGTCATGTGGAGTCATCCTTTATGTTTTAATGGCTGGGTATCTTCCATTTGATGACATAGACCTTCCGACCTTGTACCAAAAGGTTAGTTGCTCTTATTCTTTTAACTGCTTATGTTTAGTGCTTAAGTTCCGTCAGATGTCGTTCTGATGCATTGATATATTCCATTTTCTAGTAACTTATAATGGTGATGTATTTTTATCAAGAATACATCTTTGTTGTGCCCATTTGTTTAACATGTCGGAAACTCCATTCAGAACATATTGCATATGTGCCATGCCTATGTCCATAATTTTATCTCTTCGCTGTTTGTGGGAGGTCACTGTCACAGGCATATATTGTGTCTGTGTCAGACACTGACAACCGTGTCTTTGGCAAGAGCATAAGTTGCAACGAGGGCATGGTTAATCTTTTAAGCACTTTACGAATTGAGAAAAATTTCTCATTGGACCCATTTTTATCATCTAAAACATTTGGTAAACCATGCCAGTATGTGTGAGACTTTCTAACTGTTCCTCTGATTTGTGTAGATAAATGTTGCTGAATTTTCGTGTCCAATTTGGTTTTCTCCTGGTGCAAAGTCCTTGATACATAAGATCCTTGATCCCAACCCAGAGATTGTGAGTATGAAGATCATTGCTTATTGATTATTTTGAATCAGTAAAGCACCTCACTTTCTGTTTCTATTCTTTGATTTTGATGGTTTATTTGAATTGATGTTCCCTATTTTTTGATTGTTTATCCGAATTGAGTTGATATACAAATTTTAACATTTAGTTGATATTTGAATTTCAACCAAACTCTCCTCAAACTTCATCTCTATTTGGTATTTAAATTTCAATCTAACTTATTTATCTCTCTTCAAAACCTAACTTATCTTTGTTTATATAACTACACTAACGTCTCTGTCTTGTCTTATAGATTTTCATGTGCTTTAAACATTCTCTATATTCTTCCAATCAAGTCTCTTTAACCTTCATAGTGACAAACTTAAGACTATAGATAATAAGTTTTGCAATTATATGTGCTTATGGGTTCAATGAATGCCTCCTCGGAAGACCTACAACGAAGTCCATAGTGACATGCTCCCACTTCCACTCGGCAATAGGCAAGGGTTGCAACAAATCCGCTGGCCTCTAATGATCGGCTTTCACTTGCTGACAAGTAAGGTACTTGGACACAAAAACTACCACATCCTTCTTCATACCCCGCCACCAAAACTGGCGACCCAAATCACGATACATCTCAGTGCCTCCCGGATGCACCACAAGGCGTGAATGGTGAAACTCTCGGAGTACTTCCTCTCGGCAAGACTCTGGCACAAACAGACGGTCTCGGTACCTCACACTTAGGTCGGGATACATAGTCAAACCCTTTTCAACCTTCCTACTGGAGATCTTCTTCCAGAGGGATTCTACCTCAAAGTCACTCCTCTGTGCCTCTAACACTCGATTCACAAGTGTAGGCTACGCAACTACAGAAAACAAGGCCGCAGACTCAACGGATTCACCCAAGAGTAAGTCAAACTTTCCAAATTGCACCCAACATTTCCCACTCCCGGATGGCTATACAAGCTACATCGCTAATGGATTTCCTACTAAGAGCATCGGCCACAACATTGGCTTTCCCCGGATGGTAATGCAACTCGAAGTCGTAATCCTCAATAAACCCCATCCACCTCATCTGCCTCAATTTCAAGTCTTTCTGTGTAAATAGATATTTCAGACTCTTATGATCTGATAACACCTCGAACCTTTCACCATAAAAGTAGTGCCTCCAAATCTTCAAGGGAAAAATCATAGCTACTAACTCTAGGTCATGTGTAGGGTAATTTCTCTCATGTGTTTTCAACTGCCGCAAGCCATAGGCTACCACTTTCCCCTCTTGCATCAACACACAACCCAAACCCTCTCGTGAAGTATCACAATACACTGCATAACCCAAACCCCTCTCCGGAATAATCAAAACTGGAGCGGTAGTAAGTCTAACTTTAAGTTCTTGGAATGACTTTTCACAAGTCTCATTCCACACAAACTTGACCCCTTTCCGCGTCAATTTAGTCAACGGCGGAGCTAACCTGGAGAAATCTTTCACAAACCGACGGTAATACCTGGCCAAACCTAGAAAACTGCGGATCTCAAAACACTCTTAGGTTGTACCCAATGTTGCACTGTCTCTATCTTGGATGTATCAACAGACACCCCTTCCCCAGAGACTACATGGCCTGAGAATTTTACCTCTCTTAGCCAGAACTCACACTTCTCAAACTTAGCATACAACTTATGGGCTCTAAGCAACTCAAGCACCACTCTTAAGTGTTCTTCGTGTTCCTCCTCATAAAGTGAATAAATCAGAATGTCGTCTACGAAGACGACCACAAAACGATCTAAAAACTCCCGGAAGATCCGGTTCATCAAGTCCATAAATACTGTCGGTGTATTGTTGAGCCCAAAAGGCATCACCAGAAACTCATAATGGCCATACCGCGTACAGAATGCCGTCTTCGGGATATCCTCCTCTCTGACCCTTAACTGATGGTAACCCGATCTCAAGTTTATCTTAGAGAAACAACGGGATCTTTTCAACTGGTCAAACAGATCATCTATACGAGGCATAGGGTACTTGTTCTTAATCGTAGCCCAATTCAATTTTCGGTAATCAATACAAAGTCTCAAAGCCCCATCTTTCTTTTTAGCAAAGAGGGCCGGTGCTCCCCACGGCGAAATACTAGGGCAGATAAAGCTCTTATCTACCAACTCTTGGAGTTGAATCTTCAACTCACTCAACTCAGTTGGGGCAAAACGATACGATGCCATGGAAATCAGTGTCGTGCCAGGCACTAAGTCAATAGAGAACTCGATCTCTCGATGAGGTGGTAAACTAACAAGATCCTTGGGAAAAACTTCCGAATACTCACAAACCACTCTTGGCAACTCAACCTGGGTCTCATCACACTCACTACTCATACAGCTAGCGAGAAGGCAACTGAGCTCACTCCGCCCTTGCGGATCATACACTAGTGGCAAAACACTACCAACTCGATCCCCCAAGAAATGAAAACACTCCCCGCTCAAGGTACATACAGTAACCCTCTGGCGGCAGCAATCAATAATAGCCTCGTATGACGATAACTAATCCATACCCAAAAACACATCAAAACCCGACATAGCCATAACTACAAAAGAAAATGGAAGCCGGCGGTCGGCGACCTCAATATCGCAGCCTCTACACCCTTGTTTCAAAATCAATTCACCCCCAACAGGTGATACAACACAAATAGGAGATGCTAACTACGCCAACTCCAACCCCAAAACAGATGCAAATGCAGCAGATATAAAGGAATGGGATACACCCGTATCAATCAACACATTAGCAACCGAGTTGCAAAACAAAAAGGTACCTCTCACAACACATGGAGCTGATACAAGACCCTGTGCGGTAACAGCATACACACACCCTGAAGGTCTCTGATCTACCTGCTCTCCTCTCGAAGGAGAAGACTGCTGCACAGACTGAGATGATGAGGCTCCCTGATTGGCCCTCGAGGCCTGAACAAACTGAGCTGGCTGATAGCTCTGCCTCGACCCAGACGCACCAGATGTGCCACTCAACTGCGGGCAGAACCTCTTCAGGTGCCCCACCTGTCACGACCCAAACCCGGCCCTATGGGTTTAGCACCGTAACCGGCCAGTAATCCGAGATTACCGAAGGCCTGCAGAACAGTAGAATAATAACAGAGTACAGGGCCTGGCGGAAGCCAATACAGTAAATGAATAGTGTCCATTGAGCTGTGTCAGTCTGTATGCCAAAAAGATTTTTCATGCATTCACATATACAAACAGTACAGTCTATACAAAATTTACAGTCACAGTACAGGGACCTAATCCCTTGATAACAGTACAGTAAACAGTCAGTCTTAAAAAA